AGTTATTGTAGCTATGGTGACAAATAAGATTAGAGATAAACATTGATAAATATTTGTTGATATCGATCTTTGAAAACCATAATAGCCTCAATAAGTTGTTAACATTCTGATTTCTAGCTTAACTGTTATCAGCTCTAAGGAAATCTGAGTCAAAATTAAAATCAGTAAATTTTCGAACGATAATTGTTGTTTCGTATCAAGAAAAATTTATTTAAACGGTTTATTTAGACTTTATAATGTCTTTTTTTAATATTACCTGCTCCAACCCTATCACGAGTATATTTATTTCGTAGTTTGTTCCCAACTGAAAAGCCAATCATAGAACTAAACATGCTCATCGTCGTAGCCTCTTATACAATTGATTACACACCTGGAAATATTTCTCAAAAGAAGATATTTCATATGATATGAAGAGTATTCACTGTTTCCTCTTTTGTGAAGTCTAATTTTTACTTTCAAAATGAAAATTTGCTTTGAAAAATAATTTGTCAGTTTCAAAATAAAAATTCACTTTTAAATCTATTTTTCATTGATGCAATTCCCATTTTGTTAATGTAGATAAAATTTCGAAGTGAATTTTCATTTTGGATCTAACAACTTAGATTTTGAAGTGAATTTCTATTTTGGAAGTGGAAATTAGAATTCACATTTGAGTATGTAGTGAAAAATCTTATATCATATGAAATATCTCCTTCTATGAACATATTTTCAGGTGTGCAGTCAATCACATATGGGGTTTGCGACAATAAGTATGTTTAGTGTAATGATTGACTTTCCATGTAAAAAATAAAAATGCAAAAGAAATAAACTCGTGCAAGTTTTGGTGTAGCTATGATGATAGATAATATTATATCTGAAAATTAGATCTACCACAAATCTAATTGTTTGACATCATAGTAATGTTAGTTCCATCAAAGATCACTGTTGGTCGAACATTGATTCTCAATCTATTAGTAGGGCTTTCTAATGTTGCATGCCACTGTAGCTACACTAGCCTTCACACATATATAGTTTTGTCATATTTTGTCTTTAAAAGGGTTGTTGTAGCTACAATGATAGCCAAGATTAGAGAAAAATATAGATAAATGTTTGTTAATAATCGATCTTCGACGACCCTAACAACCTCACCAAACTATTAATGTTCTGACTTCAAAGCTATCTAAAACGTTCACTCCTTTTAAAAAATGTGTTGATTATTGTCAGGTTTTGTCATCTTTTGTTAACAATCGTACAATAGATCTACTAAAATAATTAAATACAATGAATTCAGTTGAATGCATTTTATAATGCATTTATTATTCTCATATTTGAGTGTAAACATGGATATTCGTACGTCGAGATTGTGGATGTACAACAGACTTTATCCGAATAAAAATAGAATCACACAAGAGTTCTTGAATTATGTCGATGAATTTTTGGTAGGTGCTTCTCAACTGTCAGTTTACCTATATGAGGGTAGGTTTTGATGTTCATGTTCAAAACACAGAAATTGAGCACACCTAATGTCTGACGAAGTAAAATATGATATATACCGTTGGGGATTTCAGCCAGGTTATTGGATTTGGACTTCACATGGAGGAGGTTGATCCTACAACATTCTACTCCACTCCTTCGACAAGTTATGATTCCTCACTTGGATTTAACTCAGGCAGATTTGAGGAAATGATCTTTGATGGAATAAGATATCATTATGCGAGCCAAGTGCAGTAGGAAGTGACACAGACTCTCGAGGCTCAGACATTTTATGATTTATTGAATGTTGTTTAAAGGCCACTGAGAGATGGTTGCACGTCTCATTATGAGTTATTCGTAGCTCTTAGAATGTTGAAAATCAAAACAGAGTACAACATGTCTTAAGAGCACTTCAATCAGTTTGTGAGTCTTTCAGCTAAGTGAGGATGAGAGGGCATGTGGTGGATTTCAGTCAAAATTTGCTTAATGGGGGAAGTAATAGAGGGAACAATTATGAGGGAAATTCCCTCTAAAATTTGAATGAAAAGGAGGGATTTTGAATTGTTTGAGGTGGTTATGGTTATTATGGCCAAAATTAAAATTCTAGCTCATTTAGAAGAGAAAAATATAAAGAATTGAATAGTTTAATTGGTTTTGGTTGAGATGATCTGTACCTCAAGTTATTTAAATTCAAAGAGAGCCTATGGCAAAAAATTTAACCTTTGTTTATTTAGTTTAGAAAAAGAGAACGCATTGTTGAAATTAGTTTTAGTTAATGTAAATATATCTCAAGATTTTTCAAGTCAAAGTGTGGGTCTCACCCTAGAACAGAAAACTTTTGTGGATTTTGAATGAAATTTTTTTAATGGGCTTTCATTGATTAAATTTAGCATTTTTAATTCACATTTACTTTAGTTGAAGTTTGATTTTGATTTGAATCCATTTTGATTGAATTATTAGAATTATTCTTTTTATTATTCAAAATTTCAACAAAATTATTACAGACATAACGCCCCAAATGAAGTCCGATTTTAGCACAGAAGCGTTCATTTGAAATGTTTCGACAATCTAGACAAACTCACGCAATTAGTTTTAAAAAATAATGATTCGTTGAAAAATTTTTATATAGAACTATTTTTCATGCGTAAAAGCCCAAAATAATAAGTTTTATTTAAAAAGTGTGCATGATCATCATCAAACTAGTTTGTATGTTTCTCCTGTGAGATAATTAATATAATGCAACTTATAAAGTAAAATTTTTATCACCGCATTAATCTATAAAAAAATGATAATTTCAAGGTGATATGAGTGATATTCATGTTTGAAAATTCAAAGTAAAAAATTTTACGTAAAAATTATGCTATATAATCATCAAACATATTTGCATTATCTTTATATGTGATAATAAACACCATGCAACTTTCAGATTGAAGTTTTAAGTTATATGATGATCTGTGAAGAAAATGATAAAATGATAATCAAAAGTAAGGTCAACTATTTACGTAACAAAAAACCACCACGCTCATTAACTCGAAAGGGAAGACACCCATTCATTCAATGTTTGTTCTATTTAATTTAAACAAGTCATTCACAAATAGAGTTTATTTCTCATATTTAAGTATGATCTCAATGGTCCCATGTTGATTCTAAAAATCAAGAGAAATACAACTTCAAAGAAGATTTTTAAACAATTACTTCTATAAGATCATTAGACCCATTGACTCAAAAGGGACTGCACTTACTCATTTAATGTTTGCCCTATTTGATTTAAACAAGCCATTCACAAATATAACATTTATTTATCATATTCAAGTATGATCCCAATGGTCCCATGCTAGATTCTAAAAATCAAAAGGTTCACAATTTTCAAGCAAAGAAGATTTTAAACAATTACTTTGAATGCATAATCATCCATGATTTTTTCATATATATATATATATATATATATATCATGATCTATTTGGATAACTAATATTACATTATCTCATCATTTCTTGGCTCAATCCAATTTGTTCATTGGGCTAATTATCATCCACGTCATTCTTGTAAGAAAAAATCATTATCCTCACCTCTTTTCTATCATTTAGGACTTATATTTTAATTAAGCTAATAAATATGATAAATTGCATACAATTTTCTCTCTTTTTAAGGCACTAAGCGCTCATCATCTTATTGATAAGAAGGGCAACATTTTCTATAATATTATTTGATTTTAGGCTTTAACCAAAGATACAATAAGAAAAAGCAAATTTCATTAATTTTACTTTTAAATTCTGCCAAAGCATATAAAACACGAGAACGTTCAAGTACCGTTCTCTAACATTTGCACTTTGCAACCAGAACAAATCCACCCAAAAAAACCCACCAAGAACTAGAAAATATTACATCAGGACTCCAAACACAATTTACATTCATAGTCTAATGGCGGGACGCCACGTGTCAAGTGGGTTCCACCGTAATACACTGACATTAATCAATTTTATAAACGGTGAAGCCGACTTGACACGTGACGCCCCATCATTGGACTTGAATGTATTATGAGTCTTGATGTAATATATTTCCACCAAGAACAGTTGACTAAATGAATGGAGCCTTTTAAAAATAGCATCCTCATCAATGTTTTTCCAAGGCTGAGCAGATGCAGCAATTATGCAGACATGTGATCATCAAATTTGTATATTTTCCTAACTAAGATTATAAAACTAATGAATGAATTGAGTCTTTCAAAGAAAAAAATAATATTGTTAACCATTTCACGTCGCTCTCCTCCCGAGGACGTAGGCATCTTTACCGAACATCTTTAAATATGTGTTTTTTTGGATTTTATGTCAATTCCTGTTTTTCTTCACCCTAATTTCTCAACAAATATGCACACTCGAAAAATAAAGAATTAAACTGGTAAAGAATCATACAGCAGTAATATGAACAGAAGCCATAAAATAATTGACATATAATGGATGACAACAGAAACTATTGTATACGTTTCATATCAAGTATTGTATACGTTTCATACGTTTCATAAAATAATTGACATATAATGGATGACATATCACTCGGTTGAATTACCATTTTTTATGAAAGCTAATGGAGAAAATGCCCCACTCGGTTGAATTACCATTTTTTATGAAAGCTAATGATAATTATTTACAGATATCTTAAATATGAACATAAAATTGTAATATCTTCATCTAGCAAGGTACAACAGTTAGATAGTAGCAGAGAATGGCCAAAAGAAAAAAAGGAAACTTCACACATATACCGCATAATTCTTATGTATTTACATATGTAACGCCTAAAGTTTGATGTTTACACTCATAAAATCCTAGTGCCATAAATCTATGCATGAAAATGTATACTCACTTTTAAAAAGAAATTGACTGTCATATTGTTGTTGTATTGTTGAAGATTATAAATATGAATGTTCAAGTATAGGATGTAAATACATAAAAATTATGAGGTATACATATAAATGCGTGAAAAACACAATCTCATCAGACCACAGACAAGGGAAAATGAATGAATGATTCACCATCATCAAGATAAAAACATTAAAATTTAAAACTCAATGATAACAGAATTCCATAGCAAAAGTACATCTCAAAATCTAAATGGAAAACAACAACAAAATCATCCAAAGCTCAGCCATCCAAACAAATAATCCTATATAATTCAAACCAAGACAACCCAACCTCCGCACCAGAAACATCTCAATGATCACCAGGGAGTGACTTTATTATGTCAGAGTCGCCTGAAAGTGATTGATATCAGTCAGAAGCAAATACATAAATATAGAAATTTCATGAATCAAAGTAATATTTCTCAAACTGACCAGGATCGATAATGCTGAGACAGCATACTCGGAAATATTTACCGCAAGCAGTACCGAGGTCGACATTATCTAAAATCATGAGCAATGATTCAGAACAAAGTCAAAAGTTAGAGAGTTGAAGTTAGACGAAGCTACAGATTCTAATCGGTATCAACAGATTTAGAAGCAAATAAATAAATTACCAGTTGTTGTTCTGATATGCAATTTAAGAATAGTTAAAAAAAAAAACGAATTAAGGAAAATTTAATAATTTGTATAATAAATGCCTAAGAAATTTTGATGAATGTTTGGTATCAAAAATAGCATAGCAACAGTTATCTAATGAGCTCACTTTAGATGTCAAATGACTAGGCTCTTCAGCCAAGTTTCTATGGAATTTGAAGCTGCTTTACATGTGGATTTTTATTTTTGTTTTGTTACAGTGCTATACTATATGAGCCAAAATTGGAGGATGAACCAGGCCCCCAAAAATGTGTGGCTCCAGCTGGAAAAAATCAAACTCCCCTGGGATGAAGCCAGCTTCATTCGATATTTCGATTCAGCTTCCTATTTTTAGCACAACGTGCATTTCAGGCTTTTTTTAATTCATTAACAGTATAATTGAACTGATACAAGCTTTAAAATTTTTAAAAATAAAGCATATGGCATTAACTCAAAAAAAGGGGTGCTAACCTTCTTAAACATTTCATCTAATAACCTGAATAATCATCATCAAATACATTTAGCTGTTATTTAATTAAATGGAAAAAATAAAAATCACAACTAGCATAGAAAAAGGTTTTCAAAAAAATTTGCTAACAGTCAAAACATTTGTTGGATTCAAAATAAACTACAGAAAACCATCAAGAAAACTTTTAATAATTTAGCAACCTTCAGATCATTCTAAACACAAAAAAATGCAGGATGCATGCAAAGCCAAACCAAAAAAAAAAAAAAAAGAGAGAATAATTCCAGATTATGCCCCAGATTTTAAATAAGTGGCTGTCATATGGCCAATGATTAAAAAGATATCTGCAACATATTCAACATTAAATACATAGCTGTACAAAATAAACGGTGAAGAATCTTACTTCCATTAAAATGATGAACCCCAACCTTTCCAAGCATTGCATAATATTCAATCTCAGACTTGCGGAGTGGAGGGCAGTTGTTAGCAATTATTACCAACTTCCCTATTAGATTACGGAACAGTCAGTCAATGATAAGAATTAGATGAACTAATTAGTGCAAACCCTAACTACACAGAGCAAACAAATTTTGTAGATGCAAAACAGGACAAATAAAGATTGGATATATATATCATGAGAAACAAAATTTCTTCTTTCTTCTCATGACTAGTAAAGCAAAATATGTTACGGAGGACCATTATTACCACACATCTCTTTTTCCACATCAATTTGGATACAAGGGAAAGAACCAGTGGAAGCAGAAAGTAAAATGAAAGAGTTTCAGAAGAATCAGACTTTAAAATAGCCTTAGAGCCCATGGTCCAGAAGATAACAGCAAAAAAAAAGAAGTGCTGAGTATAATGAATGCAAAGAGTATTCATTTTCAAAGCCTTCCCTTCAGACAAAGAACAAAATATGAGAGCTGGTGAACATGCTGTTTCTCACACTTATTACACTAGATCAGCAAAACATACTTCAAAGAACTTCAAACTACAAAGAAAAACTGGAGAAACCACATTGTATATCTTCCTCGATAAAAAAAAAAGACCTAAAAATCACTCAATGATACTCTCACCTATCAAGACATCAGCACTTCCAGTTACACAGAATTGAAATTATGTAGAATCTCATTCAATTAGCAAATTATGTGGTTCAAAATATGGTCCATAATATATGAAGTCCACATAAATGTAAGTAATAGTCAGTATACCAATGTTAGACAAACAAAATACCACCTACTAACCATGTGTAGATACCTTGGGCAGATAATTTCTAAAAAAGTTCAGTAAAAAAATAACAACTATGATTGCTATATGCTAGCATAAAAATAATTATAGTAAATCTACTAATGAAAAGGAAATATATTATATGAATATGCTTTAATAAAATACAGAGATGTATGGTGATCTTGTGCTCTTTGATTTGGTTAAGAAAGTATAAAATATTGTCAAAATAGATTTCATACATCAAAAAATAGATGTACAAATATATTTATTTAATGAAATCATATAAATAAATATATATATTAAAATACAATATAAAGTTTATATTTAAGATAAACAATTTGTCTGAATTTAATCAGATGGGAAGAATGTGCACCTGCCCAAGGAAATTTTATTAAAACCTAATTAAAAACTAAGTTATAGTTGTGTGATTATAAAATTTAACTTGAATAAGGTGTTAAAATTTGGTCTTGATCATAACAATTTAAATTAAGATCCATTCAGTAGAATGGTTGGATTTAAAAATGAAATTTAATCGATTAAAAGTATATCTCAGATGGGAATCTTTTATTTGAGGGACTTCTGCATGAGTTTATAGTCATGCATACATTATACATGAACCATAATGAAGGAAGAGTTGTCATAAGAAAGAAGTCTTCTAATAAGTAGATAGACATTACAAAATCTACTACATTCTTCTAAAATATTGAGAATTTTGCACAAATTTAGGTGATCATTTGTCATCCCTAGAAAAGAAAAGAGATAGTTCCTGTTTGAAAAGGAAAATTACACAAAATCAGCTAGATTAAAGTTTAGGAATAAACCCTAAGAATGCATGCCAACTTGAGGCCAAACTTAGGAAGCCATGCATCTGTACGTTGGTTATGGACCAGATTTCATCATTTACGAATAATATTCTTACATAGTCATGTTTGGCATTAGTTCTCTCTCAATAGTAGCATAACAGCTGTACTAAAGGAAAAGATGGTGACGTGAATCATCAAAAAAGAAAAGGCAGCTCTTTTATACAAATATTAAACGCTGCAACAATACTGAATAATTACTCATTTTACAATAAAATGAGTTGTTTAGTTCGTTTAGCTGCAAAAGGCAATATAGTTGAAATCAAGAGAGAATTCAACACAGATCCTTAAGTTGTGCAATGATTCCAGTACTTTCTACAACATATACTTTGGGATTTGCTTGGGCTGAAAGACACTGACGAAAAAAAAACGAAATTCAAATCAACAATGTCATAAACATGAATCTTTAATGCTATTTCTTCGAACTTATCAACCTTTTTTGGCATTCCTTTTCACCCAAATTTCCCTTATCCAAACATAGGTAAAATTTCACGCCCAATTCAGCAAAAGAATAAGCTGCACCCAAATATGCTCATAAAAAAACAGACGAAGAAGTGCCGAGACACGTTACCCTTGGAATTTCTAAGAGATCTGAGAACGGTCTTGTAACCGAGCGTATACTTTCCACTCTTCATTACCAGGGCCAGCCTATTGTTAATGCTCTCCGTAGACTTCTTCTGCATCAATTAAAACGAAAGAATATATAAAAACCCTAAATTCAGCGAAAATTTATCATCGACCTCGAAATAGTGTATCGTTATAAAATCTAAGCCGTAAAGAGTCCAGAAAATTATGAAATTACCGCCTTCTTGACGGGCGCCATGGCCGTGCTAATTCGCTTAGAGCAACAAAACTCGGCGCTCACAACCTCCTCCTTCCCTGGCTCTTGCCGGCGCAAACAAAAACCCTAGGTCGCAGAGCGTAGCTTTTTATAATTGAGGAATGTGTTGAGGCCAAATGACGAAATTACCATCGATAGGTTGCTGGATATGTAACACTGAACTCTTAATTTTTTTTTTTTTACATATATACCAGCCAAAATTTTCATATAATATAAAAATTATAAATATTTTAATTTTTAAAAAGTGAAATACAAATTTACATGCATAATATGTATAAATTAAAATTTAAATGTTAAAATATATAAATATATAAGGATTGAGTGATATGTATGTAAATCTTTATATACTAAGCTTTTACAAAGTAATTCAAAAAGATTTATTACATATCTCTCTATTCACATATATTTACATATAAAATACCTAAATTTTGTGTCTAATAAAATCAACTATTATATATAT